TTTTTTAGATTAGCAATCCATCACTGTGTATAACTGAATGACAAACATGTATAATCAGAGTGAGGAGGCAAAGAGGGAACTTGAGTGGGGACGTAGAAAGTTGCAGAGACCTTCAGTCAAATTTAGATGTTTAAATGTACAGAAAGGAAGAAAAGTACAGCCTAGAATCCCTCCCTCTGTGTGGCACATGTGGTACAGAGACTTATACCCCTGTTGGCAGCAGAAGTGAAGTGGTAATTCTTTAAGAAATATCTGCTGGGAAAGACAGACGAGCAGCTCCCGGTGTCCCAGCCCAGCAGCCCATGAGTCACGGCTGCAGTTTGGTGGGTGAGGGGCTCAAAGAAACAGTGTTGAGATTGGTCACATGTAGACTTTTGCGTAGCTACAAATGTAAGTTAAAGTTTACATATCATTTCACTCATTAAAAATATTGTGTCTCTGGATGAATAGTTTGGATTTATGGCATCAATGTTACCATTTCAATAATAGTGTGATGTTGTTGGTATAAGACATTGGCAGACATGCAAGAATTTCTTTGGAAATAATACTTGCAAAGCTCGTCAGTCTTTGCTAAACTTGTTCACACCAGGATTTATCACTTTAAATGGCTCGTACCGTTGGTGTTTTCTCTTTTGTAATTGAAATTGAGAAATCCAACCATCGGGGGTCAGGAAAAAAAGAGGAAATTCTTCTGGTGTTAAGGTGGTGTCTATAGAACTGCAGCTGCCAGTAAGTCAGGTTTAAATATAGACTGTAAATAAAGATGGACATGATATGTATCTACTTCCCACCGTTGTACAAAAATAAAGCTAAAATATCGATAGGGTACCACTGTCTTGTGGTTTTGACTGCATTTGGAGCCAGATCTGCAGTTGAGATTGTGATTTGGAGCCTCAGTGTCAGGGTCAAGCCCACCCACATGCTCCACCAATCGCAGGTCAGTCTCATCCCTGATTCGTGATATTTCACCCTGTTTTTATGGTATCAAATAACCAATTCAGACCAAACTTAACAGAAACCTATCACAAAACATCCAAAATTCACTTGAAGTGTACTGTGATATTTTAGTTTGGTCCGTGTCCCGTCTGTTGACATAGAGGAGGCGTTCAGCATATTTGGCTCCACTTTCGGGGACCAGTCATGTCTTCCATCTCGTGTGGGTTAGACTCGCTCACCATCCACTTTCCTGTGAGATATGGAATAAATCATGAGGTGATTAATGTGTTGCTCCTGCAGGAAAGCTCATAAGGAGTTCCAGCCTGAGACATAATCAGCCTCACTTAATGCAGAATACTGTATCTACAGATGGCTTTCATTGGATCCTGGGAGAGACAAAATGAACACAGGACTCCAAAGGAATCTTCTGTAGAAAACATGGCCACCAAGGAAATAAAGAAGACCCAATTGAACAAAGAAGAAACCCTTTCTGCTGCAGTGTGTACTAGTATTCGTCTCCCAGGCTTGAGCCAGTTCCCCATATTGTTTTTCTTCAAACAAAATGCACAGCTGAGCAAGTCTGGTTTGTATCCTCCGCCTTCGACTTAATGCAGCGCCCTTTTTTTCCCATAACAAAAGTCAGTGAAAGCAACATGAGCCTCTTAACAATGTGAATGTAACTCACTACCTGAAACGTAACCCTATTATTTAGGAAATGCTCGACATATTTCTGGGCTTCTCAAACACCCTCTCATCTTACCATAACAATCTGATTCAATATGTGGTATTATTGTTCCAGGACCCAAAGGCAGCGCTGTCTGCCTGTAGCAGACGGTTTGGTATTGAAATTCAAGCTGTGGTAATGAATCAGGGCAAATTTTAAGTCTAAGTTTTTCTGCCCAAGGTAAGATCAACCCCACCTGGATCTTCAGGGACTCAATAAAACTCCCATCATATTGTAGCTAACTGCTGTTTTGTTTTATCTGCATGCTCCAGCTCAAACATGTTTGACACACATGCTTCCTATCAGAACTGATTGTCTCTATTTTATGTTTTTGTATATTTTAAATGCATGTGAATTCTGGATGCAGGGGAGTCTTTATTAAATGTTCTCTGCCATGCCGTCTGTTTTCCGCCCTCTTGTTTGCATGCATGTCTCTGAACGGTGTTGCCGGGAAACCTGCCCGTGCACACAGCGAAAAATCAAATCACTCTGAAATCTTGAAACGCTGCACCTCTCATAATCCCATGTGGTATGTTCCCACTTAACCAGTAATTGTATTTTCTCTTCACGTATTTAATAGAACAACATGGCAGCAGGGCTCTTAACTTCTTCCTTGTGCTTGGAGGACAACCCAAGTGTTGAGTGCAGGGAGAAGTGCACACAATTAGTTAATATAATTCACAGATGTGCTCGCTGAGAGTTTTCTCTCTCTCTCTCTCTCTCTCTCTCTCTCAGCATTGCACAGCAGAGCCGGGGCAACCTGAGAGCATGGACACGGGTCTCACCCCACCGTGACCCACTGGCACATACATTTTAGATGACGTAGTAATTAAAATACACTAATTTGATAATAATGCAATAACAGCAGCACCCTGAAGGGCTAATTTAAAGAAAACATTTTCCCAGACCGCCGGTAAAGCAAATGTAATGCCCCATAGAAAATACAGTAGCCAGTTGCTGTGCTGTGCTTGCCGGAGTCTCAGGGGTATTTCAGAGCACTGATTTCATGCTGCAATCATTAAAATCTTAGCTCCCTCTTGGCCCGAGAGCGACTGACTGGCGACGGCGCCTGCGAACGATATCGGATCCCCGAGGTGTAAAGTTGATGAATATCTGAGGCTGTTTTGCAAAGGGTTAAAGTCTGAATTGCTCCTCAACAGATCAAGGTGCAGTGACAGTGCAAAGCTGAACTTTATATTATTCTAAGGGAATTGCAAAGTTCATAGGGCATCTCTCAAAGGTAAAAAGATACACAGGAGCGGCTCAGGACATATATAAAGAAAAGGGAACTGGTTCAGATTGCTGACCTAGATTTGACATTGCTTGATTTTCATTTATTGTTGATTTGCATTTTTCAGAACAGGTCTGAGAAGAGAGAGCAACAGGGGATTGCCAGATTTACTGGCCACATTCAAATCAAGCATGTCTCCAACCATTTGACCACCAGGGAAAGGGTTTTGAGATGGTCTGAGCTACTTTAACAAGTTGAAGTGAAGTGAAGTCCTGATTAGTTACTTTGCAGAGTAATGACGATCAAGTGGTCCCTGAAGGTGTAACAGGTTTGGGGAGGAGTAAAGCACATAGCCTAACTGGAATTGTCCTACAGATTAATTTCTTTGGAAAGTTCAGAGCAGACTTCTTTGACAAAGCACTGAAAGTTCTGAAGACACAGCCAACGTACTGCAGCTGAGCTGATCCCAACCCAAGTGTCCATCATGCATGAATATCATTAAGTGTGAGCCATGATGCACGGCAATTTTGCCCCTAATTCCTCCTCATCAAGAGACAAAAAAAAAAAAAAAAAAAAAAACAGTGAGCAGGAGAAAGAATTTGGCCTCGTTGTTTCCCTCCTTTTGTACCATTGGCATGGTGGCTTTGAAGCCTACAGAAGTGGAAGCAAAAGTGATTGAGCTTGCTCACTGAGGCTTGTTGTACAGGACTGAATCTCGCAAATCACGCCTCATGACCCATTAGTGTGTGTTTATTAACCACATGTACAGTACTTCCACACTTGCTAATGAGCGGCGAGGCCAGGGCATCAGCATCACCTTAGCCCCGGTGGAATGTGCTGACGGACGGCATTAGTTTTCAGCCTCTTGAAACGGAAAACATGATCATAGGACTACGCAACTGTCCGATGATTGTAAGATTGTAAGAGATGCATCATCGTGCAAGTGAGTAAAACTTTTAGTGTCTGAGGGAAATGGTCTATGACTATCCATCCATCAATTATTTATGCCGCTTATTCTTTGAGGGTCACAGGGGAAGCTGGAGCTGTCCTTGGACGAGAGCTGCGGTTCCCCCTGGAAAGGTTGCCATTGTATGACAGAGACAAACATACAGAGACAAACAGCCATTCACTTTCACATTTACACCTATGATCAATTCAGAGTCTCCTGTCGACCTAATCCCCAGTCAGTATGTCTTTTGACTGTGGGAAGAAGCCAGACTAACCAGAGAAAATGCATGAGACACTGGGCGAATATGCAAAGACCCCGGTTGAACTGGTATTTGATCTGAGAACCTTCTGGGACAGTGCTAACCACTGCACCACTGTACCGCCCATAGACTATGATTTCTCTTATGGATATCATTTACTCCTTCTGCAGATTCCCAGAGGGCGGTCGCTGGCATGGTTTACTTTAAAAGTCGCATGCTTCCATTTGTCATTGTTGTGCTAAACACTGCTGTGGTATAGAGGAAATCGAATTAAGGAGCCGTCCAGCGGCAGTCTTGTCCTTATCATTTCCATCAGCCTGATCAGAAACACATTGCACTCCCACCAACAGAGGGTCAGAAAGTCATGTAACCTTAGGCAGGCAGCCACTTCCTGAGCTCTCCATCATGGACAGCCTCTGTTGGTGTGTGGCAGTGATGTAACATGTAAATACTGAGCAATTTCCCATGACGTACATTATTAACACTGTTGAGAATCTACTGATTCACAACATGATGGCAATTATAAGGAGGTACCAAGTAAAAATTTCTTTAAATACCTGGTCTTGAAAACACGTTGCTCTAATTCCAATTAAAACCACCTATTGTCATTGTCTAAGTGCATAACATCAACTTTTCAACTTGTGGCTTAATCTTTTATTGCCACTCTCTGATATGACGAGATGATTTTTAACAAATTGATTTCAATTAATAGTTGACAGAGGAAATTATTCAGTTTCAGCAGACAGCATTTAAAACATAGCAAAAAACACACAGTACACAGGCCTATGCTGCTATATCATTTTACCAAAGAATTAGACAAATAAATTAGTAATATGCAGTCGTTACAGGAGTATTTATGTATTATCCCATGACACAGAAAACACACTCAAGCACACAAAGTTGACATAAGTGCTTTATTGTAAGAAATATATATTTTCACGTATTTTTTCAATGGATGCTCATCATTAAGTGCCAATCAAATCTAAATTAATGAATATCTAAATTCAAATGTGGTTTTTTTCTTCATTATCTTTAAAGTCAGCAAATCTAAAAAGTGGAAGAAAGTGCAACGTTCACATGGCAACATAACACGACAGTACAATGATACAGAGAACAAATGAAAATGACAACACAAAAAACATTGAATTAAGGGATGTGAAATGACCAGGTGATTTAGTTTCCACATTTTGTACCTGAGTAGAATTCTGATTCTTTCTGCCTCATCATGACAGATAAATTCACAGTACAAGTGTGTAAAGTGCAAGCAAAGAATTACAGAACAGTCTCTGTACATATAGGAAAAAAGAAAATGATAGAAAAGCAGAACATTTTCATATAAGTGAGCATGTAAAATATACACTTATGGCACCATGAAGCATAATATTGGTGCTCTTATTGAAGGCACATCCCTGCATAAATGTGTGTACGATACTGATTTTATCACACAGTCATCTTCAAACCTGTTAAGTTTGTCATGATGGTAAACGCTCATCTGAGGGATTCAATGACAACTCAATTAAGAAGGCAGAAACAAAGTCAACCCAGTTCATCTCCACGTCACTGCCTCTGACCGCTCTCCTGCTTGAAGGCAACAATGAACTTCCAGGCTTCTACATAGTGGGAGAGGCAGATCTCATCTGGGAAGAGCTCCTCCACTTCAGGGGAAATCTCCAGGTTTTTCCGCTCCATGTAGGACACCAGGGTCATCTTTAAGCTTTAAGAGACAAACCATGACCTTAAAATCAGTGATCAGATATTGATAATACAAATTACGGTACACAAACACACATGAGCACAAAATATTACAGTCCCAATGTTCAGACATTGTTCAGACCTGAGCACGACTTTTATCTGTAACTGAAGACAGTGTCAGGGGAATGCAAATAAATGAATTAACAACATTTGCTTTTACCCCCATTCAGGCCTGTAGGTGTCAGGTGCGTTGGGCTTTTTAAGAACCAGCACCAGGAACTCGTGCATCTCCAGCAGGAACGTGTCAGCGCTGCTCTTAGAGAAGAAGCCAGTCAGAAGCCTGTGCTCATCCTCACCCAGAGCCTGTTTGTACTTTTCTGAGACTTCAACAAATGGATCCTGAAGAACACAGGGAATGTAAGAAATAAATGAGTATTCATTAAACCACCTATATTGACTAAAATGCATCATTGAGTCAGATCTCTACTCCTGCTCATATAATAACAGTATCATCTGTATCTGTATACTGGCAGCAGTGTGATGCTTTACCCTCTTGAGCCGGAGCATATTTTCTGATTTGAGTGAAGCCAGCAGCTGCCACAGCGCCACACAGTGCTTCAGACAGCACACGCTCAGTGCCTGCAGGCCAAACAGGGAGAGAAGTAAGTTGTTTTTTCAGTGCATAAAAAAGATCCACACAAATTAAAACCTTGTCGATTCAAATAAAATACTCAGGGAGTAGAAGTATATCATCAGTAACATATTATTTGTACAACAAAGTAATCAAAAAACTGTCCAGAATCGTTATTGTGTGGAAGCGAGAGGAAGATAAATAAAAAACTGCCTCCGATAGGCCGACCTTGAGGATGTGTGGGGCCAACTGGTTTCCCATCTGCAGAACCTCCTCCAGGTAGCAAGACAGCTGCATGTGTGGTTCTCCCCCAGTCATAGCAAGAAAACCAAGGGCCACCTCCAGCGTGGACAAGGCCTCACACACCTCGCTGTAGGAGTGGAGCTCGCCAGCCACGGCAAACAGGGTGAGAGTCTGAAGAGGCTCCTGTTAGCACACACACACAGAATGTAGATGCTGTGTGAGGGGCTTTCTACAGCAACATGGGTTATATGTGATAAATGGCAGCTCCAGTGGGCTACTGGGAATCCAAACTTACTTGCTCTACTTTTGTTTTTACATCCTTCAGGATAATCTCATAGTTGCGGTCATGTCTGTTCACCAGCGTTGGGATACCCTGTGGTAAAGGACAAGAAAAAAATGCATGAGGAAAGTTGTGTCTTCACAAATTACTTTAATTCGGCTTGTCATTTGCTCACATTGAGAGTGATGAGAGGTTTGCCCAGCAGGAAGTGGGACACAATCTGCTGCTGGATCTTGGGCAAGTCGTACTCATGAATTGTCTCTTGGCCTCTCTCAATGCTGTACTGGGTGTTGGAGAGAACCAGGGGCATCAGGTCTTTCTCCAGCTCATACCGAATCACATGCAGCTCCGTCACATCTGCAGGGCTCACTTTGTAGCTGGGGAAGAGATAAACCCACGGGTCACCTGAGAGACAGTGTCTCCTTATTATAGTAAAGCTGCAAACCTACATTTTCTGTCCTTTTTTCTTGCTATGCATTCAAATGTAAAAATGTATCTCACCATCCAGCAAACTCAGTTAAACACTAATGTTACATCAAGCTGTATTCCTCCAGTCAAACATGTACAAGTGAGATAAATGTGGCATGAGCGCCCCCACCTGGTCTCCTCTCCGGTGTGTCTATCCACACAGTACACCAGCTCATTGTGGATGGCGATGAGGTAGCTGACAAGTGCTGTAGAGCACAGGCCTGGGCCCTGTCGCCGTGGTAACAGCACCTTAAAGTCACTGTTGAGGTCCAGGTCCTTCTCGCAGAACTCGGCTGGGATCTTAATCTCACCTGGACATTTTTAATCCAAGTTTCATTAAACCCCAAAGCAGGACAGAGCAGTGTTTGTGCAACAGGATGTGTCTTGTTGGTGTTTATATTTACCGTTGGTTGCCAAGGACACTCTCAGCTGATTCCAGGTCGTCAAGAAGAGTTTGATGTGTTTCTCATACCAGGTTTTCAGCGCAACTGCACAAATGAAGAATCTTTAAATGTCCTTCAAAATGTACACAGGTCAGCTGACAGTAAAATATTTTAAAAAAGAGAAAACAAGTTGTTCACTAGAGTGGTTTGGACGTGTGGAAGAGATCACTCTCTCAAGACCACTCAATCACTGTCCCCTCCCAGGTTAAACGACTCACTCCTTGGCAGGCAGGTCTTTAAGCTGTGCGTTGCCAGCTATTTTACTATGACATTTCCGAGAATGCGGTAATTAGGAGTTGCGTGGAACTGTGCATCTCTTGTGTAAATGAGTCATACTGTTGAAAAAGCTGAGAAGCACTGGTGCAGACAGTTAGTTTCATTACCTGCTTTCTGACTGTGGAGGAACTCTGCAATGGTGCCAAAAGTCAGCTCAGTTATGTTCTGAAACTTCTTGACCAGATCCCTCTGCAGTGTGAGGACGTCAGGAAGGTGTTTCACCAGCTGCAGCTCTGCTTCCTAAAGAGAAAATAAAAAGATAGTGGCTTGTTTAATGATATTTACGAACTGGTTGATCCCAAAAATGTGTTGTGTAACTGAGCTGTAACCTTATACAAACCTTTTTTCTGAAGCCACAGAAATCTAACTGTATGATCCCAGTGGTTAATTTTTTTATTTTTAACACTAGTTAAAGATATATATATACGTCAGAGGATTAGGGCCATACTGGAGAAAAAAACATTATGAATTAAGTCGTAATTTAATGAAAAAAGTCATAATATTACGAATAAAGTTGTAATTTACCAAGAAAAAAGTTGTGATATTGCGAGAATGAGGATAAAAAAAACAATCTGTGTTTCACTCCTGGATATAAAATCTTGAACAATTCTCATTTAATCTCAAAAAACTATCAGAATCAGAAGATTATGATTATGATTATGAAACCTCCTCCACAAAAGAGGCTATTTCCTCTAAGCCTGTGTGGTTCTTTCTCAGAATTTCTTCTAAATCTTTTCAAAGTCCTGATACTTATGATAATGTGACGATACTGTGCCAAAAGACAAAGTATTGTGTGTATTTGTGAAACCTGTACTAAAGAAAAGCTCAACAAGATAAAATTACGACTTTGTTCTTTGAATTTCTCCCTCAAAATCTCAGAATGTTAAGCTATAGGCCTACATGTTTTTAGGTTTGTTTTAATAACATACTAAATAATAATTGTTTGACTATATAATGTTTGACACTAAATAAATCTCAATTTGACAAATTCTATAGCCATTATGCAATATATTACTATGCATCCTCTTCAGAATATAAACCACTCATTAATATGCCTATGATGCACTGTTGGAGCTTTTCTATCAGCAGGACACAGGATTCTTATGCTGTCTTTTAAAAGTGGATGTGAATTTGGCCACTGTTTTCTTACTCTATGCAGAAATCTCCAGAGCACCGGCAGGGTGTCTTTGCCTTCGTTCTGCTCTACAATATGTGAGAGGGTGAGCAGAGACACTTTCTCCCTGCAGCTCCACACTGCAGAACAATGGATCAGAGAATTTGGGGGAAGTGAGGTCAGGAAGAGACGAGGATCTCCGAACATGAGCTTCATGACTGGATTGGCGGAGACGCGGGAGTCAGCCTGGATGAATGCGCTCACTTCCTTTAGCCGTCGAGACAAGTCCTGAGGAGGAGATGATGATGTTATGTGCAGATCTCTCACAAACAGGAAGGATTATTTAATGATATTATCCTGTTTGCTTTTTTTATTATTTAGAACAAAAAAAATGTTTCTACCTTCAGTTGAGGTATGACGATGGCATTGCTCACTTCCACCTCCCATCCATTTCTCGCCTCTTTGGTGGAGAGATGATTTTTGAAGGGAACAGGCCCTGAAAAAAGAGACCAGCTGATCCTTACAGTGGAAAGTAATCCAGAAAATTTGCTAGAGTAGTCACATTACCATTGGCTTGGATTATTTGCAAAGCTAGAAATAACATTACAAAGGACAACTTTGACCTAGAACTTCTACATTTGTATACATTAATGACTTAAAATTACTTTAACCTTACACACTCTTACACACTATTAGACTTGAATTGCAAAATGGCCCCATACAATTTCTGATCACTAGAGGGCACACTTTCTCTTTTCTCCTCTTGTAGGACAGTGATAAAATACACAGCGAGGAAAGGTAACAGGTCTGAGGCAACTTAATGTTGCAGCTTTAGGTTAAGTTGTTCTTTACATTTTAGTTGCTGATGAGGTTCCAGGAGGCTGCCGATGAGTAGGTGAACAGTGCTGATTGTGTCGTCTGTCCCTTTGCCCAGAGATCTGAGAAGATGCTCCATGTCCTTCCGCAAGTGGGCAAGTAGAAATGCTCCTGGGTCAGGGACTGGAGGCTTGATGATGGCAGAGATGGACTAGAAAAGCAAGCACAGTCGCTAATTGATGACACTCCCTCCTCTGAGCAGGATATCAACAACCCAATATGACTAGAATGATGGGATTTGTATTGAGAACACGTTAGTTAATGTCTCCCAAGAGTCTGCCTTCCCTCGAGAAGATGCTGCAGGGAAGAATGATCTGCATTGAAATTGTACTCATTATTTACCTGTGGGTGGCTGCAGGCGCCAAGCAGCATGGCCATGTGAGTGAGCATGCGCACAATGTTGAAGGGAAAAGGGGAAATGCTCTTTGTGTCCAGCATATCTGGATTGTCCCTACGACCTGGGTCACCAAGGATGTGGCCCGTCTGGGTACGGTCAACCCTGTCAGAAGATAATGCATTAATACATCCAGCCATAAAACTATTTAAATGTTCCTCTTGAATTGTCAACTTATGGGCCTCTTACTGATTTTGTGCAACTTGAAATCCTGCCACAGTTTGGTGGTTTTCTCCTCCAATCACAACACCGCAGTCCAAACAATGACTTGTTTGCATGGGCTGGCCACACTAGAGAGGAATAAAAAGGAGAAAAGGCAAATAAATAGAAAAATTACAAATATACTGGGAAAAGACTTACGAGTCAAATGGAATTGAACATACCTCTCCGATGGTGGAGGGGTGACCATTTTTACAATCTATGGAGAAAGTTAATCAAAAATGACTATGAAAGTATTTTCGGCTGTGTAGCATTTTCATCTGACATATTTTATATGTTCAATAGTATAGTTCTTCGGTTTTTTTACTTACAGTACCACCTCAGTGGTTCCGTTTGCAGAGCTTGCCGAGCCACTGCTAGCATGTCCTCCGGCATGCTGGGCAAGAAGGCGGCCTGTGTCCAACACACAAAAAAAACATGCAACTCACTTCAGAGAAGGAAAAGTTGGCTACAGTGAAAGCAGCTTACATTATACCTACCTGCATGTTGGCAGGTGCTGTGCTAAGCTGCTGGAGGGGGGCTAAGATCGCCTGGTTCCCACAGTGCAACACAGCAGCCAGGTGTATAGTTAACTCCACCAGGACACACTGGATGCCAGAGGCCCCAGGACGAACAGTCAACAGCCCGAGTTGGTTGGTCACCAGAGCCAAGGCAAACGGCTTCACAGTCTGGCTGCCAAGGAATTTGGAGGTCTGAATGTAGGAAGCCAGGGCTTCTAATTGCTAAAGTGACAAAGATGTAATAAAGTAATCAGTCAGTTTCAGTAACTTTAAAAAAGCATGTGTACATGGCAGAACTGTACAGGACATGTGGAAATCATTTGAATTTTGAGCAACAGTTCACACTTTGGTTGGTTTTGGTCTTGTTACTCTCAGGAGAACAAATTGAATGTTTGTATTAAATACAAACAAAATATGTCGTTCACTGGGTCGTAGTGTAAAAACCTACCTCAGGCTTTGGATGGAAGCAAGCATTGGCTTCTCTGTAGAGAGAGGTGACTTCTCTGTACAATGCCAGCAGGAGATAAACTGTTTTCAACTGTGGCAAACATCTGCACCCCTAGGAAGACAATGCAAAAGAAAGACTTGAGTCCTGAGATATGACTGTGAGTAACTAATGAGAAAGTGATGTGACATTACCTCACAGGTCTCATCCAGTCCATCCACTTTGCCGTCCATCAATCCCTTTGCAACAGCATTTCTGATTGTCTTGTAGTCTTCTCCACACACAAGATACCGGTCTATTGCGGTGGCTTCTTCTCTCTGGGTGAAATGAAAATGAACAACAGTTTTTACTATGGTTACATTTACAAAATGATTCAGTAACACTGATCACAAAATTGTGGATATCAAAACCTTTTGTAGAGCTTCCTCAGGGAAGAGCCAGTGCATTTGATCCATTTTGAGGAGTTTCAGGACAAACTCCACTCCGTGTTGGCTGCAGATCTTACGGATCAAGTAGACACGATACCAATCGTTTCTACTTTGCTTACACAAGTCCATCACACTTGTCAGGAAGGCTAAAGTGCCACTTTTATCACCATCCTGGGACTCTGGGAAGTTTGAAATTAAAAGAGAAAGAGGAGTAACATTTAAACACACTCAGTTAAACACAAACAAGCAAGTTGACACAAGGCAAATCTACGTAGGAAACTAATCCTGACATTTCACCCCAGTGACACACCTTTGGATCTGAGTTTTTCTATGATGAGGCGGGCAGCCATATCAAGGTCCATACGCACTCTGGCCACCCGCTGCAGGCACTCCACAGTGGCTGTTTCAGCAGACTGACTGTGTACTTGCAGGTACTCAGTCAGAAAGGCACTTTCATTTCGCAGACACACCTGCTGGTCTGCAATGGACCTGAACTGCAACCTCTCAAACATGGAATCCTATAGAAAGGAAATGGTCAAAAGTAAAAAGAAGCTGTATCACCACGTAACACACAGCAATACCTGAGTAAAATTTGAATTGTTGCATACCTCCAAGCAGTTCATGTACAAGCAGTAAAGTTCAGTTTTGTCCGTCTTCTCTAAGATGTTGCTCTGCTCAATCGCCATCAGATGCTGCTGCAGGTAACCTTTGACTTCATCAAAGCTTCAAAAACAGGGCAGCTCATTAAAAATTTAGAAACATGGCTAAAACTAGATGGGCAATCAGAGAGTGCATACCTCCGCCAAACCACATTTAAAGGTTCAGTGTGTAGAATTTAGTGACAACTAGTGGTGAAGTTGCATGTTGCAGCAGAATAGATAGATAGATACTTAATTGATCCCAAAAGAAAATTCAAGCGTCCAGTGGCAGTAACATACATTGAACATACATTAGACTTGACTTGCATTAGAGTTAGAGCATTAGAGTTAACTTATAACACAGTGACCATACGTTGAAATTGGCATGAGATGAATGTAAATTTAAATTTGAACAGAGGAATTAATGAAATTAAACAATTGAAGCAAAATTAAACTTTTACAGAGAAATTTAACCTTTGCATAGGATTTCAATATATACAGAGGAATTTAAAATGTGCAGGAATATTAAATATTTGCAGAAAATGTGCATAGAAAATAAATATAGAACTGTGTTAAGTTAACCCGTGCTAATCGTCT